AGCGATTGATGTCCGGTTGGAGATGTCGGAGAGCATGTGTGCGTGTGCTCTACGAAGCACAGAGCGAGGAGTCGTGTTGTCGAAAGAATTCGGGCGGCCCGGATTTTTGACTGGGTTGGCTGGGTCAGGCATCATTCGATTTTCGTGGATCTTTTCTTTTTCCTCACAGAAAGAAAGAAAGAAAACACGCAACCCAAGGGAGGGATGGGAGGACGGCACGCCGCCACCACACAGGGATTTTAAGGAGAGGTGTGTGATGCGCTAGCCGTCGCCCACCCTAGTAGGGAGTCTGCCTCTTCCTATCTCTCTTCGCAGTCTCTCGCCGCTTCTCGCTGCAACCTTCATGCCACCTCGCGGTCGTCCCACTCTCGTCGTTCTCTCCCTTGTCATTTCCTCCTCTGTCGCGTCGTTCTCTTCTGCCTCGTCCTGCGACGCCGCCGCCTCTTCTGTCGCGGCTTCTTTCGCCTTTCGGCACACATCGAGCGAGCCGGTTTCGCGCTGCTGGCGGTCTTTGGAGCCTCTTGCCTCTCCGTCGCGCAGGAGCCGTGCGGCGACTCCAACTCTGCGTGTGGCTCGTGGGCCGACGCCGGTGAGTGCGGCAAGAATGTCGGCTTCATGAAGGCCGAGTGCGCTGAGTCGTGTGGCTTCTGCACGCCGCCTCCTATGCTGACGGCCGCTGACGATCCGCTCCTCGGGCCCGAGCGCGTGGTCCTGAGCATACACTATGGCGAAAAGGTACCCCAGCGAAGCGGCCGGACTTCCGGTGAAGCCGCCACCCAGGTCTCGAGCTTCAGCTGGCGAACCATCATGCCGCTCTCGGCACCGCAGCAGCGCGAGCGCCGCGCCGCGCAGCGCGCTGCCGAGGCTCAGGACGCGGCTCGCGGGCAGCGCAACCGCCCGGCGCCGAGCCGGTGCTAGGCCGCCTCCGCTGCGCCTGCTTCCTTGCGCGCCGCTGGACGTCGGCCGAGAAGACCGCTTCCCTCTGGGGACCCGACTCCGCGAAGATCGCGCGCGCGTCGTGAGTGGCGGCGCGCGCGCGATCTCCGTTCCCGAGCACGCCGGTCGCAGTGGCATGGGATCCCAGGCTCAAAAGCGCTCCCGTCAACAGCGAGCGAGCGCCGCCGCTGCTCCTCCTCCCGCCGCCGCTCACCGAGACTCGGTGCCGCCGTTCGCCACCACCGCCGCCGCCGCCGCCGCCGCCGCCTCGCGCCTCGCCTCCGTCACCC